GTATGTATAGGACAGAATGTGGTTAATGCAAAACTTAGGCTTGTAAAACAATAGCTGCAGGAGTCTGGAGAGTCCCCAGACTTTGTAAATCTCACAGACAGCTGCAGCCAGCATTCCTTCCCCCTCCCTCCCTGATAGAGACGAAATTTATCCCTCCCTAGCTCTCCTGATAAGGACAATGCCAGAGAGGAAGGATGGGGCGATGGTGGGGCCACTACTACCAAGAAGTTCTGAGGCTTAAATGAGATGAGGAATCAAAGTATTATTTGCCTATGTCAGGGAGGTTTTAGGGCAGCTACCCTGCTCTCCCCTCATGGCTGCAAACTGGAATTGCCCTGCAATGGGGCGATGCTTGGACAGGAAGACTTCTAAAATTCTACTGAGCAACCAGGACCGACATGAAAATTATTTGTTTCGAGACTGTCAAAGGTGGCTCCAGCTGACCAGGACCTGAAGTGTACATTCTTTGTCGTCTCCCTGTCGTCCCTGTAGCCTTCCCCCTAAACCTCTACTGTCCCTGCATCCACAGCAGCGAGATTTCCCGGAAAAGGTCTGCAAGCGTGCCCACACACGTGTCTACACATTTAGCCAAAGACTGGCCACGCCCAGCTCACATCCGGGTCCAGCCCCCAGCCTGCGCGCCCCGCCCATAGCCCCGCCCCACGCACCCTCCTCCCTCTCTCGAGGCTGTCCCGGCGCCGGAAGTGCTCGGAGCGCGGGGCGGCGGCGGCTGGGCGGGGCTGCCGGGAGGCTGCGGCGCACGGCTGGCCGAGGGAGGGGAGAGGCCGCTGGGCCCGCGTTCGCTGCCGAGGCGAACTCTCGCAGGTACGGCCACGGTCGGGGCTGCCAGCCGAGGGCCGGGGGGCTCCTGCCGGTCTCTGACTGGGGTGTCGTTGCAGGGCCGCCTCCATGTTGCGTTTTCCGACCTGTTTCCCGTCCTTCCGGGTGGTGGGAGAGAAGCAGCTACCGCAGGAGATTATTTTCCTGGTTTGGTCGCCCAAGCGGGATCTCATTGCTTTGGCCAACACAGCGGGCGAGGTAAGTGAGCTGGCGGGGAGCCCTGCTGGGCCGGGTCGCTTCGCGGCGGGCCCAAGAACATCGAACCCGACCCCGTTCCTTCGGGCCACAGCTGCCAGAGGCTCAGTTTCCCCTTCTGCAGACCTGGCGGACCACCTGTCTACTACCCCGCCCTTGCCTCCTAGGATGGCTGTAAACTTTATAGGCGAAAGTATAAAGGACCAAATATGCAAAAGATGATTTATGTGCCTATTTTCAGTATTTTGTGGCTAAAGCAACAGTTTTCACACAGATTGACGCAGTCACACAATCCTGCACCCCCAAGTCGCCTTCATTCATTGACTTAGTTAAATGGGCTTTTTAAAAGCCCACTATGTGCTACTTGTGAGCTAGACATAGTAGATCCAGTGACCCAGCTCTAAGTTTGCTTACAGTTAAGTAGAAGAAGGATGAGTTTTTGTCAAACTTTAGCTGCAAGTGTGCGTGCCTGTAGATGCCACAGAGGATATATTTAAGAATCTAGCTTCTCTTGTCCATGTTTTATACTGTGGGTTGGAGAGCAGCCTCCCTTTAAAAATACCTTTAAATTGAACAAGGGAGTGATGCATCATTGGATTCTCGACAGAATGTGCATGAGCCTTGTCAATTAGTATTTCTAGTGCACATTATGTTATACCTCATTAGGTATAAACCAGTTGTACCCAACTTCTGCTGAAGAGTCCTTTACCTGCCAGCCATTTTGTAAGGAAACCTTCACCTGTGCATCTTTCCTCCTTTGGCCTTTTGACAGTTTTCCTGATAGTTATGTGGCCAGGTGAGAGTTGTTGTGTACAGACAAGTTTGGAAAGTAGATGGTAAGGAAATCTTAGCCAGGGAAACTTAGCAGCCTGTAAAATTGCATTCCCATGTTGTCTGGATGTCTAGTTTCTCAGAGCCCTCCTTGAAATCTTCCAGTCCACCTCCTCTGCCAGGGGCTTTGAAACTTTGTCATGGCTCCAAAGAGCAGTAGATGGTGCAGCCATACCAATAGGAGGGAAGGTAGAGAATAGGGTCATCATTGTAGTCAGAGTGGCAGGTGTGACATTGGGCACTGTTGCTTTCATTTTTGCAGTGAGGGGAAGAAGCAAGGGTGTTGAGTGAAGATGGTGAAGAGAATATTGGAAGTTTGAAGGGAAAGAAGTGGTATAAAAAAACTGACAAGGCAGGTAGACTAGGGAAACCTAATAGGATTGCCAGTCAGTGTTAAGAGCCACTCAAGGTTAGTGGTCTTTTAGTTTGAGAGAAACCAGCAAGTGTGGTTGTATGTGTCTCTTCATTCTGTTTGGCTGTGTGGGTGCAGGCATGGTTGGGTTTAACTAGGATTGTCATTTTGCAAGTATGACAAAGAAAGAGAGATACAAGAGTTGAAGTTAAATGCAAGGGGGGTGATGGTAATTATGAACCTTGGATTCTAACCTGATTAAGGAGGGAAGTAGGGGATGTGTGGGGTGAGGGACAGTGAATAGATGGTAGAATCAATGGACTGTATGCCCTGGTGTGGTTGAAAAATTGGAATCAGATCTTGTATAGATGAACTGGAAAGATAGAGGTGGTGGATGGAAGGTGGGAAGTTTGAAATTGAGATTATGGTAGCATTGCAATTGTTGGCAATGACCAGGCCAAGGGCATGACTCTGGGAGTGGCTGAGGTGAGGGAGAAGATGTGATCTTTGGAGGAAAGGTAGTTGAGAACTGAAAAGCCAGGACATCCTAGCTCTTGAAATTACCAAGGATGACAATGAGTAGTGTTGTTGGAAAGCATAAATGAGCCAGGAGTTCACATCTTCAAGGAATGAGGGGAATGGCAGAGGGGTCTGTAGAGGACTGCAGTTAAGAAGGATAGCAGGTGGTATGGTCTGGTATTCAAAGTTAGGAGATTTTAGAGAAGAGAAGAAAAATTGTCTAGAAATAGCATTGAACATCAAGGAAGATACCTACTTCAAGTAGCCCAGTAGTTGTAGTAGTATAGGGGGGCCATGGAATGCAAATGGCCACCACCTGAGAATGCTGCGGGGAAGCAGTGTTCTCAGGTGAGAGGCACATTTCAGAGCAAAGACTGAAGACGAGATCATAATGATACCTGACCATGAGTTCAGAAGGCACAGAGGAAGGGTTTCGGGAGTAAGGAAAGGCAGAGATGGTTTCAGAGGAGAGGGTCAAGTCCAGCGCATGAGCATTTCCTTAGGAGTCCTGGGTTCCTCGTGACCAATGTAACCAGGAGGGAAGGGTGCCCTGAGCTGTAAGGCAGGGAGCTGTGGTGAGGCTGAATATGGGGACAGAGGAGGTGGGGAGGGGCTTTTTAGGAGCACTTGCAGTTCTGAGGTCTCTTCTTATCTTCAGTGGTTGTATAGAGGTGGGAGTAGGAGCAGTCTTATTTTGAAGCACAAGGAGCCCTCAGACATCATTCTGCCCCTCGAAGGTGGGAATTTACTGGTGCAGAAATAGAAATTTAGGATGGCTGAGTGACTTGTCTAAGATCCATGACTAGTAAGTGACACAACTGAAATTTGATGCCAAGTTGTCTGATTCCAAGTTTAGTGTTATTTGACTATATTACAGCTACCTTTTTAGTGCTGTGTTCTGTATTTTGTTGTGTTCTTGGACAGCCTTCTCAATTCTTTCTAAAAGGTAAGTCTCCTGCTAACATAAAAGATAGGAAAATGTATAAAATACAGGGTTAAATTTGACCTTGTTTCGCCCATTTCTTACTCAAAATACCTTATGTTCATTCAGACACTTGTCTTTCTCTATTCTTCTGATGGCTAATTATTATATTCAAGGGATGGTAATTTTTAAACATTTTGTAGTGGGGATCTAAGTTTATTCTATTTTTGGAAATAGAGTTTTTATTTTCTGCCATTGTATCTATTTGTCTTAGGTTTTACTTCATCGACTTGCAAGTTTTCATCGAGTTTGGAGTTTTCCACCAAATGAAAATACAGGAAAGGAAGTGACCTGTCTGGCTTGGAGACCAGATGGCAAACGTAATGATAATATTATAAAAAATAGGTTTTTATTTTCACAAAGAGTATTCCTTAAAGCCGATTTTCAGAAAGAATTTATTGTTCTTATTATATATTAGAATTATAAATACCAATTTGGGAACATTTTTGAAAAAATGTTTTGAAACTTTTTTTATAGAATTCAGATTAATTCTGCTGTCTTGTTTCTTGGCAAAGATATCTCTTAATTGAAATATGGCTTCTTGGCAAAGATAACTTTGAAGCGAAATCTGATGGAATATATAAAATATTTTGGTTTTGCTCTTTCCTCTGTCTTTCCTTTTACCATTTGTCCCAAGCACCACCTGCTACTCACCAGTTTAGTGCCATCCTGGCCTTTTTCTTTCTAAACTGTATTTTAGTATTAAATGTGTGGCTCATGAGTATTCTCTCTGTGCATGCATGTTTGCCTCACCTGAGGTGCGGGGAGTTAGCTACGCTCCCAGCAAAAAATCGGGTCCCTTAGGCAGGGATCGTCGCAAAGGATAAGAAAATAATAGAAAATGGAAAATAATAGAAATAAAAGAATACACAGAGACAAAGGTATAGTTTTATAGGTTTATAAAGAAAAGGAAAGCAGGGGTACTCGGGGGACCCACAATATCCCCGTCAATTGTGAGGCCACGAGTGAAGTTTTAAATGGGTATTTATAGGTACAGTGATCAGTTGCCAGGGGTAACAGATTTTCATAATAACAGGTAGTTCATTTTAGGTTAAAAGTATTTCGTAGGCTTCTATAGATACCTTAATTAACTCTATCTGCGTGAATAAATGGTTACAAAATCTTTAAAGGACAAACTTCTAAGATAAAGCTATCACTTAACAGAAGGGTTAAACGGAGGTATAGTGGCTCCATATTTCTTTGTCTAGTTATTGCAGATGGAGACAGGTAATCAGAAGTCAACCAGGAATTGTCCCTTGGGCTAATTGTTTTTAGCTGCAGGAGTCTGTCTCTTGGGCGGGCACTCTTCGATCAGCTCTCATCCCGTGGCTCCATGCAGACCTGCTTTGTCCTTCAAAGCAGGTGAGAACCACAGGTTTGAGACTGCAGCCTCACCTTGAAAAGCAGCTGCTACTGACCTTTGAGATGCCCTCCTGAGGTGGAGCAGCTTTTGATATGCAAACTAACACGTTCACATATCCCTTCAGGGCAAAGCCCTGCAAAACTCCTGAGATCGTTTCTGTCTCTAGTATAGTAATATTAATTTATGGAGCAACACTGAGGGACAGTCACTCTGACCCCATTCTTGCCATTTCTGTATGATCTTCTGATACCTTCTATGTTGTAGTTTGTAATGACTCTGATGACTGAACTCTTCCATGTGATGTTTTTATAATGACAGTCCTTATTTGAGCTGTTGTACACAGTACAGTAAAATGCTGGAAATCATACAGCTTAAAGTTCATCTGTGTCACTGGTGCTTTAAAGCAAATCGTTTTATAAAATGTGGGTTCCTCATTGCTTAATTTTTTCTCTAGATAAATATAAATACTTAAAATTTTATTGGTGCTTTAAGAAAAAAACAAATTGTTTTTATAAAATATATGCTCCTTATTGCTTAGTGTTTTCTCTAAATAAATATAGATA